CAACAGCACTTTAATATGCAAATTAGATACAGTGTATAGATAACATTGTGCTTAATGGGAAAACCAGTTTATGGAATTTTCACACACATATTTCATAAAGCAAAATGGTATATCAAATCATTTTGTTATATATTTTATAACATAGTTGAGAACCATCCTTAAACAAAGTTAGCTATAAAAAAATCCTGAAACCTAAAAATTGATTGGTGATTTAAAAAAAATTCCCATTGTTTTTGCCTTTTCATGTCTATTCTTGTCATTTTATTTTTTTAGAAAAACTGAGTCCTGGTGTCCTCTACAGAGGACATAGCATAACATATAAATAAAATATAATTTTTCAAAAATGTTATTTTACCATTTTTTTCTTATGCTCTAAACAATGTAATGACATGAAAAAATACTAAATTCACAAAGCTTTTTATTTCAGGTTCTCAGGAGGATATATATACATATATATACACAGTATATATAATTACTCATCCAAGTTTGGAATGATGACAGAATTTTCATTTTTGGGTGAACTATCCCTTTAAGGCAACATTAATTTGATCATTTTGCAAACATTTATGGAACGTTACTTATGAATGTTCTCTAGACATTCTGAAAAAAATAGACAATTTTTTATAGACAAACCTCTAACTAAAATGTGTTAAAATAAGCATTCTGAAAACATTTTAAATACCACTTAACTTTGAATGAACGTGCTATAAGCATTACTTTAAGTACGTTTGAGAGAACCAAAATATTCCCTGATAGCTGGGTAGCAACTGCATAGCAATGCCCTGCCAACACTATATTTTGCAAAGACAAGCAACAAATCTATTATTTGATCACCTAGATCAAACAGTTGTGAAAAGGTTAAATGTGACTGGCTAAGACTATACAAGGAAATAAGAGAGCCTGTAATGTCTACTATGCTGTCAAACTATACACAGGAAGTTGTGTAGAGCACTTCAGATGACTCAATGATTGCCAATAAGTTGATTAACTTAACATTGGCTCAGGATATAGATATGAAGAAAGGAAAAAAATATGCCAAACCGGAGCTGCTTGGGAGCCACTTCCTGTCTGTGTATCTACAGGTTCATCTGTTCTAGGCACCGAGGATGATTTGGCCGTATCTCTTCGCTTCATGAACTTTGGTGCAAGTCCTCTGTCTTCAGATGATGGCACGCTGGATTCTGGCTTGTCCAGTTTTGTTGAGAACCCGCAGTACTTCTGTGGCATCATCAAAGATAAAGACATGTGTGAGTGTCTCACAATGACAAGTTTTCAGCATGCTGATTCAATTTGTACCAAATCAAAGTGATTATTTCTTTGTATTTTGCAGGTGTTCAGCACATTAAAAGAAAAGACATTGTTTTGAAGTGGGAACTGGGCGAAGGAGCTTTTGGCAAGGTTTACCTGGCAGAATGTGCCAACCTCTGTCCTGATACTGACAAGATGCTGGTTGCTATCAAGGTATGATCATGCTTTATGTTATCAGGGCTTAACATTCTTGTAGTTCAGCAAAATGTAATATTTTTGAAAGCAATGTCTTTTTATGTGCCAGAAAAATATTCTTGATTTTATTGAAATGTTACTTTTTTCTTTACATTAAAAATGTTTTATTTAGCAACAACAGCTAGAAATTTAACAGAAAATACTGTATATACAGTAACTCTATATGCAAAACCACACATCTCTTTGAGATTGATGGCATACAATGCAAAACATTACTGATCCCTCCAAGTCTATCACAAGTCAATTTCACAATTCTAGCAAATTTACATTCATGCTAGCCAGCTAGACAACTAGCTAAAAAAACCCAACTAAAATTACTAAAACGGAAATATACATTAAAGCTAAAGAGATATAAAAAAAACTACTAAAAAGGACAAATGAGCGACTGAGCCTGGTTTCTCCCAAGGTTTTTTCTCCATTCTGTCACCGATGGAGTTTTGGTTCCTTGCCGCTGTCGCCTCTGGCTTGCTTAGTTGGGGACACTTCATTTCCAGCGATATCGTTGACTTGATTGCAAATGATTGCAAAGATACTATTTAAACTGAATTCAATGATGAACTGTCTTTAACTGAAAAATGAGTGTTTACTATTGTCATTTTGCATTATCGACACACTATTTTCCAATGTAATGCTGTTCAGTTGCTTTGACACAATCTGTATTGTTAAAAGCGCTATATAAATAAAGGTGACTTGACTTGACAAATGCACATAACAAAATTACTAAAATGTAAACAAATTAAAATAACTGAAAATATATCAATAAAATTCTAAATATCAATAAATACTATAATAGTATATAAATAATAGTACGAAAAAACACTGTTGCAAGGCATTAAACCAGAGCTGAGCGCCATTTAGAACTGAACTGATATTCAAATTGAAATGGATTTAAAATTTAAGTAGAAAACCGAACTGCAGTTTGAATTTGAATGGCAGGAAGTAGCATCAAAATGAATTTAAATTACAGCTGCCATTTTCAACAAAAAAGGAACATTTATTTCCATTACCTTGTTGAATTTCTTGAAAAGTGTCTAATTGGTCATATGCTCATTATAATAATGTCTGATTGTCTGTGTAGACTTTGAAAGTCGCCAACGAGTCCACGCGGCAGGACTTCCAGCGCGAGGCTGAGCTTCTCACGGTGCTGCAGCATGAACACATAGTGCGGTTCTACGGCGTGTGTACAGACGGAGAACCTCTGGCCATGGTGTTTGAGTACATGCGACACGGAGACCTCAACCGCTTTCTAAGGTCAGTCTAATAACCACCAGCCACTCACAGCGAATTAACTAATACGCCAGCAATGTGGTGTAGCGGTCGGAAACTGAAGAGCTTCCTTGGAGCTTCAATCTATACATGCCATTCTAAAACAACCTGGGAAACACCAAAACAAATTTGCAAGGTTTTAATTTTTTTTACTTTATTTTAGAACAGACCCTCAAGTGTTACTAGTTTATAATCTGCATTTTGTTTTGGGCTTACACTCTTAAAAATCAAGTTTTTTTTATTGGAATCTATGGTTCCATGCGAACTTTTAAAGGGGTCATAGGATGCTACATGCACTTTTACAAGTTACACAACCACCCTATAATGATAAAAATCCACCCAGTGTTTTTTTTTTTTTTATTTGGTTAAATGTTTTCCCCTTTCTCAAATCAAGCCGATCTCAGATGCCTGTCTGTGTGATGTCACAAAAACAGGCCCCTCCCACAATAGTTTGATTGGCAGTAGCGTTTCAGCACAGACTGGACTGGCGTCTTACCTTAGACCCGCGCTGAGTGAGCTGTCATCAGTCCACCATTGTTTCACCGCCGGAGCAGATGTAGACAAGAATGACTCCTAAGCGATTGAGGTGTTCTGTTGTTGGATGTAATAATGAACATAGCAGTCGTCATTTATTCCCGACATCTGAGCTGCTGAAGACGCAGTGGATTACATTGTTTCTGAAGGGAATGCGCCCCCGATCTACATAAATGTGTCTATGTTCGCGCAAATCATTCCAGCCTCATCTACAGAAGAAGTGAGTATAATGTTTTGTAATGAATCTTTGCAAATCGCCTTTCCTAATAATGTGCTAATTAGCAAGTTTCACAATGAATGCAGCTAAAGTAAACAGTCTCTCTGAGCAGCTCGGAAGAGAGGGGCAGGGTCAGTAGAGCTCATTAACATTTAAAGGAAAATGCTACAAAAACGGCTTGATCTGAAAAGAGCTGTTTTTGACGGTAAAAAAGGTGTTTTTTACACTACCATTGAGAAATTAAACTATGTTACAGACTTTTCATTAAGACCCTAAAGAATCATACCAACTTGTGGAAAATGGGCATCCTATGACCCTTTAACATCCACACTCTTGAAAATACAGCTTTAATAAGGGGGGTCGGGGGAGGTTTTGTGCAGCAATGCCTTTGAAAAACCATTTTGGGTTCACCAAAGAACCTTTCAGTGAACAGTTACTAAAATAAAAAAATGTCTTAGTGTAAAGAACATTTTAATGATCTAAAGAATCTTTTTCCACTATAAAGAATATTTTGTGCAATGGAAAGGTTCCATGGATGTTAAAAGTTATTAATGGAACCATAGATGCCAATAAAGAACCTTTACTTTTTAAGTGTATAAACTTTCCATTGCACAAAAGGTTCTTTATAGAGGAAAAAGGGGGTTTTAGATCATTAAAATGTTCTTAAAACCAAACCGTTAACTGAAATGTTTTTTTGGTAACCCAAAATAGTTCCTCTATGGCATCACTGTGAAAAAAAACACCCTTTTGGAACCTTTTTTTAAGAGTGTACATGAAACGTTTAATCTAATTCATGGTTTTTCATTTACCATATTTCCATCTACAACCACATTCACATCTAAAACTCTAAGCCTAACTAAGTAGAGGAGCTCTGGAGCCCAAATGCAGATCCAGCTTTGTGATGCTCAGTCTTAATTAAGATGTAAAGTTCACTGAAGTATGAGGTGGCTGATGGGGGACTGACTGACCATATGTCCAGCACAGCTGAGTCTCAGTGCGTAAAGATCCAGTCTGTTTGCCAGGTGGTTGCTGGGGCCAGATTGCGAATGGGGACATGTGAATGTTTGAGGGGGAGACGAAATCGCATTTTCACGTGTATGGATGTGACTCCAGTCTCAGTTGCAGCTGCCCCATCCTGCCACCTGCCTGCTAAACTAATAGGGATCACATACTAAACCTCAGAAGGCAAGCGAGTGGCAGAGATTTTACATGCATTCATTAGGATGAATGGAGAGAGTGGTTTGCACATTGAGGCCTGACACGCAAGGCAATGGTGACCATTGGTGCTTGTGCTGTCATTAAGCAGATGCTTTCATGTCCAAAGTAACTTACAGTACTGATTTCAATCTGGAGGTGTTTGCAAGTATAACAGTATAATTCATTTAGCTTACCATTACCAACGCAGATGCTGGGATCTAAAAAAAAGTTGTTCAGAATGGAATGCTTTTTTAAAAAAGTAGCATATGAAACAGCATGCAGTAAATAAAGATAAAAAGTAACATGCTGCATTGTTGTCACATTGCTAGTGAGTGGCATCCAGTTATCACCTCAGAAATTTGCGCTTTTAATATTCAGCTTTATGTAAAAATGCCTTCATTTTAAGCAGTTCGACCAAATAATGTGCCAAGATCACAGCTGGTGTCACTTCCAGTTCAGTTGTTACAGTGGAAATAGAGTGCTACAGGAATGAATCCTAAAACCTGCAAATAAGTAAGCATTCTTTCCAGTTCCATTGTCCTGAAGTCAGTAGGTTTTTTGAATGGGTTTTTGGTTACATACCTAAAACAAGGTCTGTGGTTAACACAAGCTCAATATATTTTCATGTTTTATTCTATGACATAAAATACATCAGTAATACCCCATTTACAATTTTTTACTTGATTTAAAAAGTGTGGTTGCAAATAAGTGACTAAATGGGACTTACAGAAGTTGTTTGGGACATTAAATATCACCATGCCAAATCTACTCACTTGTTGCTTTTACATTCTTCTTGCATTTATACTTGCATTCTTGCAAACTCTTCTAACTGGTAGTAGATTTTAAGTACAGATGGAAAGAGTTGTCAAAGCTTAGCAGTGTTGAAATTGATGTTGTGCAGCTGTGGTGTAGGAATAGTGTCACGGAAACACCTGCCTCACCAGCCGAATCAGCCTCCTACACCCGCTCACAATCACCTGATTACTGATCACGGACACCTGCACCCATTTACCACACCACACCACAATGCTCACTCACCTCATTCACTCATTGACTGGTCTCAAGGTTGCAAGCTATTCTGTCCTGGTTCCTCATCTTCCAGTCTGCCTGTTCCCCTCGGAATCCTCAGTTCTCGGCCAAAGGATCGGAGTGCCGACCCAGATAAGACTGTGTTTTGCTTTCCTTACTGCTTAAGTTTAACTCTTTTTGGTTGGAAGCCTCTCTTAAGTTCCTGTAATTAAACTCTCTGCTTAACGTTATCCTGCCTGTCTGCCTCACGTTATCCTGCCTGTCTGCCTCTTTGTCCCGGTTGTGACCAATAGCCTACTTCTGGTGATCGAATTTAGGCTTCAAAAGTTGTATTAATTTGTGAAGGTCATCTTGATAAACGTGTAAGAATCGGAGACTTTTGTTGGTCACAGAGTTTACTTTCTGCCAATGGAAAAATCCTATTGGGCTTTTTACTGAGAGAATCAAGGTTCTGCTAACTTTCGGGTTGGCCTGAAAAAAAATCATCCCTTCAGCACTCTATTGAGGATGAAGTAGACTGCATTGCATTGTGGGATACAGCATTCCAAACAAAACTCTTAAAAAAATAATGGTTCTTTATTGGCATCAATGGTTCCATGATGATCGTTTAACATTCATGGAAACTTTACATTGCACAAAAGGTTCTTTATAGTGGAAAAAGGCAGATGTATGAGCTGAAACTTGCAAAAGAAAATGGTCTGCTAGATCCTAACATGGCTGCGGTTGGATTGAATGCCAAGTTTCTAAAGTTTTATTCAAAGTTCACAAATATAGCCATCCATGTGGCTTTTTTGCTCCTTGGGGAAACTAATGCTATTTCAAGTCCAGTCACATCAAATAGGCCTGTGAGATGAATGTCATGTTGCAGTCAATGACATTTAATATATGTGTGTGTGCAGGGCCGTAGCCTAGGGCGCCACCAGCTGAAGGGGTGCCAATGAGTGCACGTACTGGCACTTTTAGCAGGGTCGTGATAGAGTGGCACGGTCACCCTGAAATATGACTGCCGCCCCCACTGGATCCCCCAACATTATTGGGCTCGAGTACTGTCAATCTGACGATGCCAGTATGCCACTAGATCAGAGTGCTGTCAATTGTTGCATGCAAAGTTTGCATTTGGAGCGCTCAACGCCACTAGATCAGTGGGCTCTGTCAGTGATTTGGCAAGGTAACACTTTTTTTTTTTATTTTTATTTTTATTTTTTTTATTTTATTTTTTTTTGCCATGCAATAAAGCTAAGTTCAAAGGCCAGTTTAAAATATTGGCACGGTAAATAAACTGCACAAAATCAGTATTTTAAGGCAGTATTTGTGGCACATTTGTCCAAAAGGTGTTTTTTTTTTTTTTTTTTTTTTAATTTTTTTTTTTTTTTGCGCCAATGCATTGTTAAAGGATCAGCGTGTCATGTAATATTCCCATAAACTTTAACATCCAATTAAATAATATTTGTATAGTAAAATTCGCTAATTCATGAGATCAATACATCCTTTAGACCGCTTTGAGTTAAATGCATCCTTACGGAGGTGTCGAAATGCTGAATCGATTCATTCACTTTCAACAGCGCTTAATGGGAGCAGCGTCATAGAGGGCAGAGCATCACGTTATTTAAAGGGGACGTTAGCAAATGATTCGGTAGCTGCATTGGTTACTTTTATGCCACTGATAAAGCTTTTATATGTAGTTTGGGGTAACAAAGGGGTTTTATAGGTTTGACTGAAATAATAATGCAATAACTGACACTTTAAATCAATGTTTCAAGAAACAACAAAAAACAGAGACAAAGTAGCCATTGATATCTAAACATGTAGTAGTATAGTATCAAAATGTAGTAATTTAATTTGTGTGAATTGTGTAAATTATGTGCAATGTCTTAGCCACTAGGGATTGTTACATAGGACTATACATGCATAGTGGCAACTCAATGATATTACAGATACTAAATTGTGCAAAATGTTTATCTTCACAGTCAGGTAAATTATGTGCAATGTCTTAGCCACTAGGGATTGTTACATAGGACTATACATGCATAGTGGCAACTCAATGATATTACAGATACTAAATTGTGCAAAATGTTTATCTTCACAGTCAGTTTACAAATAATGCATTCAGATTTGTGGATCTCAATGCACTGAATCTCCACAAATTAGTGTTGTTACTATGACAACCAATTTGAATGACAAGCAACTGGTGTCTGAAAATAATTTATTTATATATATATATATATATATATATATAAAAAATGTGGGCTGTTATTTTTGGGTTAAAATACATGTTTTTAAAATAGGCCTATATATTATAAATAAAATATAGCCTATAATATACACTACCATTTATAAAAATTAAAAAAAAGGTCAGTAAGATTTGTTAATGGATTCATTAAAACAAGGTTGCGTTTGTTTAAAAAAAATACAGTAAAAACAGTAAATCTACCATTTGAAATAAAATGCTTTCAATTTGAATATATTTTAAAATGTGTTTTCCTCTCATGCTAAGCTTCACTACTCCAGCTTTCAGTATCACATGATCTTTCAGAAATCATGCTGATTGTTGCTTAAGAAACATTTCTTCTTCTTCTTATTATTATTATTATAGCTGGCACACACTGACAAAAAAAAGCAAGTTTTGAAATTTAATTGACTATTGCAAATATATACAGCACTAAAATAGTAACTATTTTGAAAATGAGGAGCATATGTATCCCATCTTTCTACATCCCCCAGTTCCAGAAAACGTGAAACGCCATAAAATCAAGAATGTCGTTTGTTCTTTTTAACCTTTATTTAATTGACTGAAGTACAAAGAAAAAAAAAATTCCAATGTTTTCACCGACCACCTTAATTTTAAACAAATTGAGCCATGATCCAGCTTTGCTTGCAAAGACTGAGAAGCTCCTTTTATACCCAAACATGATACCTTCACATATTACCAATTCACCTGCTTGCTGTGAACTGTTTCAAAACAGTTTATTTGGTTATTCTATAACACTTTTACTTTTATTTTGCCTCTGTCCCAGCTTTTTTGGAGCGTGTTGCAGACTTCAAAATAAAAATGTGTTTATATTTACAAAATACATTTAAGTTGGTCAGTGAAAACTTTGGAAATCTTTTCTTTTCACTTTTGTCAATTAAATAAAAGTTAAATAGAATTAACAAATCACAGATTGTCATTTTACAAAACATCCCAACTTTTCTAGAATTAGGGTTGTACTTCGTTTTCTTTAAAGTATTTGTAAGCAAACTTTGAAATATTCTCACAATTTATGAAATATAGTTGTCACTGTGCACTACTGCGAGGAGCATAGAGACGAAAGAGCGAGGAGTTACATAGGACTATACATGCATAGTGGCAACTCAATGATATTACAGATACTAAATTGTGCAAAATGTTTATCTTCACAGTCAGTTTACAAATAATGCATTCAGATTTGTGGATCTCAATGCACTGAATCTCCACAAATTAGTGTTGTTACTATGACAACCAATTTGAATGACAAGCAACTGGTGTCTGAAAATAATTTATTTATATATATATATATATATATATATATAAAAAATGTGGGCTGTTATTTTTGGGTTAAAATACATGTTTTTAAAATAGGCCTATATATTATAAATAAAATATAGCCTATAATATACACTACCATTAAAAAAAAAGGTCAGTAAGATTTGTTAATGGATTCATTAAAACAAGGTTGCGTTTGTTTAAAAAAAATACAGTAAAAACAGTAAATCTACCATTTGAAATAAAATGCTTTCAATTTGAATATATTTTAAAATGTGTTTTCCTCTCATGCTAAGCTTCACTACTTCAGTTTTCAGTGCCACATGATCTTTCAGAAATCACGCTGATTGTTCCTTAAGGAACATTTCTTATTATTATTATTATAGCTGGCACACACTGACAAAAAAAAGCAAGTTTTGAAATTTAATTGACTATTGCAAATATATACAGCACTAAAATAGTAACTATTTTGAAAATGAGGAGCATATGTATCCCATCTTTCTACATCCCCCAGTTCCAGAAAACGTGAAACGCCATAAAATCAAGAATGTCGTTTGTTCTTTTTAACCTTTATTTAATTGACTGAAGTACAAAGAAAAAAAAAATTCCAATGTTTTCACCGACCACCTTAATTTTAAACAAATTGAGCCATGATCCAGCTTTGCTTGCAAAGACTGAGAAGCTCCTTTTATACCCAAACATGATACCTTCACATATTACCAATTCACCTGCTTGCTGTGAACTGTTTCAAAACAGTTTATTTGGTTATTCTATAACACTTTTACTTTTATTTTGCCTCTGTCCCAGCTTTTTTGGAGCGTGTTGCAGACTTCAAAATAAAAATGTGTTTATATTTACAAAATACATTTAAGTTGGTCAGTGAAAACTTTGGAAATCTTTTCTTTTCACTTTTGTCAATTAAATAAAAGTTAAATAGAATTAACAAATCACAGATTGTCATTTTACAAAACATCCCAACTTTTCTAGAATTAGGGTTGTACTTCGTTTTCTTTAAAGTATTTGTAAGCAAACTTTGAAATATTCTCACAATTTATGAAATATAGTTGTCACTGTGCACTACTGCGAGGAGCATAGAGACGAAAGAGCGAGGAGACGAGTAGTGGAATTCAAACATATAGATATTAATCACATCCAGGGAGCAAGGAAAACACATGCAGCAAGGGTAGACATATAATTCCGGACAAGGGAGAACAGAACGGGCTAGGACTCAAACAGGGCAGAGAACAAGGGGCAGACAGGTGAGGAGGCTAACAACAAGGAACGCCTGGAACAAATATAACTAAATGGGGACAAGAACCGGAAGGACCAAATAAGGGCAAGGAAGGCACAAGGGGAGCACAACACACACAAAACAAGGAACAGAGTCTGACATTACTCCCCCATCCCGGAAGGTGCGTCCTCGCGCCTCACAACATCCAATGAGTTGTGGGGTGGGCACTCTGGAGGCCCCTCAGGATAGACACGGGAAAGCAGGCCTCCAGGGCGGTACCCGTTCGGTGCACCATGGCGGAGCAGGCAGCTCAGGGCCTTGGCCTCACCACTCGACCCAGCCACTACGGACGGACCCATACTACCCCTCCTCCCCAAAAAAATCCTTGGGGAGAATATCGTCTTTAGAGGCCCTCCGTAGGCCTAACCCTGGGCTCGACATGAGAACTGGAGCCCTCTCTGGGCTAAACTCGGGGACTGGAGCCCTCTCTGGGCTAAACTCGGGGACTGGAGCCCTCTCTGGGCTAAACTCGGGGACTGGAGCCCTCTCTGGGATTGACTCGGGAACAGTGGCTCTCCCTGGGATTGACTCGGGGACTGGAGCCCTCCTTGGGCTCGACATGGGAACTGGAGCCCTCTCTGGGCTAATCTCGGGGACAGGAGCCCTCCCTGGGCTAGACTCGGGGACAGGAGCCCTCCCTGCCGCCTTCTCCTCCTCAGATTCCCCTTTTGGTTCAGGGTGAAAGGCGTGGTCAGCAGGCTTGAGTGAGCTGCGGCCAGCGGTCTTGACTGAAGAATGGCCGGTGGGCTTGACTTCGGAACAGCCGGCGGGCTGGAGAGAGCCTCGGCCGGCGGGCTTGACTGAGGAACGGCTGGCGGAGGGGTTCCGGATCGGGATCAGAGGCTCTCCAGACACCGGATGACCGCCTCCTTCCAGTCGAGGTTGGTGGTGTCTGGGAGTTCTGTTTCCCTGATGCCCTCGCATAGGTGAGCGGGTCGTGACTCGCCTGAGCCACGGCGATGAAAAAAGCTTGTTCCTCCATGTTATCGGGGAGAAACGAACAGGAAAACAAAACACTTTTCAAAATCGGGAAAAGAAACGAGGACAAGCGGCGCCGCTTACTGTATCGGTCCGGAATTCTGTCACAGTGCACTACTGTGAGGAGCACGGAGACGAAGGATTGAGGAGAGGAATTCAAACATATAGATTTGAATCACATCCAGGGAACAAGGAAAACACATGTAGCAAGGGTAGACATATAATTCCGGACAAGGGAGAACAGAACGGGCTAGGTCTCAAATAGGGCAGAGAACGAGGGGCAGACAGATGAGGATAACTAATAACAAGGAGCACCTGGAACAAATAGAAATAAATGGGGACAGGAACCGGAAGGACCAAATAAGGGCAAGGAAGGCATAAGGGGAGCAAAACGCACACAAAACAAGGAACAGAGTCTGACAGTAGTAAAGTAGGGTTCACATTTCTTCCATTTGCATGTGTAAATGTGGTATTTACCCACCAAAATAACCATGTCAGAAAAAAAGGGAATTCAATATATTCTCAAAAAACTGTATTTTCTAAAACTAAGGGATAAATATTATTATTTTTCACTGAAAGCTAATTGAAAACATCCAAATATATCACCGCAGTGAAAAGGGTGTTCAAGAGTTCCAGGAATGGAGGAACAAACTAAAATCTCTTCTGTACAAATGTCACTGTGGATATGTTCTAAACAGGAATTTTTATTTAGTCTTTTTAAATTTCGGGCAACAAGGTATATCAGCATCTCATCAACAACACTGAAGCTGTAGCAATGAAAATCACCAACATGCTTAAAAACTCTGTAAATTAATGTTATTACACTTATTTTAAAATAATTTACTGTAAAAAAAGTACTTCACTGTCTTTTCAATGCATCCTTGAATTAAAGTAATTTCTTAAATTGTAATGATCCCAAACATTTGAATTACTGTAAATATAATAACAGTCCTCATTATAAACACAAAATAATAATAATCAATTTTAATATTCAGTGAGGACAATTAGACTGTTATTTGATTCGGGGAGGGGGGCGCTGGTCCAAAAAAGGTTGAGAACCACTGGCATCATTGCAAAACCTTTCTGAACCCTTTTTAAAGAGTATAACATGCTTTGAATGTATACTAAATATCTAGTACAATGTAGTGTCCATTCTGAACACAGCCAAAATGTCTTTTTTCAGGGTAATGTTTATATAATGTGTATTATAATGTGTGTGGTTTTTGTACAGGGCTCACGGTCCAGATGCTCGTATCCTGGATGAGATAAAGGTTCCTCCGCTGGGTCAGTTGACTCTTCCTCAGATGCTCCACATCGCAGCTCAGATCGCCTCGGGCATGGTGTACCTTGCTTCCCTTCATTTCGTCCACAGAGACCTGGCCACCAGGAACTGTTTGGTCGGAGAGGGGCTGGTGGTGAAGATCGGGGATTTTGGGATGTCGAGAGACATTTACAGCACTGATTACTACAGGGTAAAACGCATTGCAATTTTAGTATCGTCCCATATGTTCCTCCTGAAATTAAGAAAAAATATACTGTAAATAACAAAAGTGGCAGATCATTTGGTCTGCATTCATATTGAGATCTGACTTATCTGATCACAATTAGGACCACCTTGAAAATGAAATGTCACATCTCAAGGGGCTATCCTTTCAAAAAATTCAAATTTTAGACACTTTAGAAACTGGAGACTTCTCCACTTCTTGCTAAGGTCTGGGAGAAACATTTGAAACATTTAAAGAGGTCTCATTTGTGATTCTTCCTTTTTGTTTTTATTTTTTTTATTTTTTAATATATTTATATGTACCCACAGCAGAGATGTTTAGTTGTAATATTCTGTTTCCTTTCACATCCTCAGGTCGGTGGGAGGACGATGCTGCCCATTCGCTGGATGCCGCCAGAAAGCATCATGTACAGGAAGTTCACCACGGAGAGTGACATCTGGAGCTTTGGAGTGGTTCTTTGGGAAATCTTCACCTACGGCAAACAACCCTGGTATCAGCTATCCAACAGTGAGGTAATTACCACATTTAATATTTCAAAGTATGTGTCGCTGCAATCATACCTATTTATATTTCAAACTCATTCACTGTCAGTTTTTAAAACAATACAACCACAAAACAGCTTTTAAAGGAACAGTTCACCTAAAAAAAAGGAAAGTTCTGTCATTTACTCACTCTCAAGGCATGCAGGAAAAAATAGTAGGCTAAATCATGCGCACGATTTACTATTTCGTTCCCTCGATTTATAAATTGTGCGCACAATTTACTAATTAGTTCCCTCGATTTGCTAAAGCGTGCACACGATTTATAAATCGAGAGAACGAATTAGTAAATTGTGCGCACGACTTGGCAAATCGAGGGAACGAAATAGTAATCGTGTGCACGTTTTAGTACATTGAGGGAACGAATTAGTAAATCGAGCATACGATTTATTTATTTTTTCTTGCATGTCATGTGCGGGGCTCCGTACATCCTTGTATATGAACAAAAAAAAACAAAAAACAATTGTTGTTGATTGATCCCATTAAAGGGGTCATATGATGCGATTTCAAGTTTTCCTTTCTCTTTGGAGTGTTACAAGCTGATTGTGCATAGATAAGATCCCTGAAGTTGCAAAGGCTAAAGTCTCAAAACCAAAGAAATATTCTTTATCAAAGTTAAGACTCTGCCACACCCCCCTAAAACGGCTTGTTCTAACACGCCCCCACATATCTACCTCACTATGTGGAAATATTAGCATAATGCCGCCCAAATGTGCACGCAAAGAAAGAAGGCGTGGTTTCAGTAACCGCAGTTAGTGTTGAAGCAGCATGTCAGGGAGACGCTGTGTGTTTCAGTGCGAAAGCAAAAGCACTTTATTTGGCCTTCCGAAAGTAGATGCATTTAGGAATCTTTAAGATTACTTACAACAGAACAGCAATGCATTTTATGGACAACCGTTTCGTGAACCTAGGAGAGGAGGTAATTCTGACTTTATGACAATCGGCGCTTCTGAATCAGCTACTGTTTTGTTATTAGTTTAAGTATTTGCTATTGACTGTTCAAATGCGGAGTTTTGAGCATCGTGTGTGTGTGAGAGAGAGAGAGAGACGGACAGAGTCACAACCGTCTTAACCGTGGCTTGTGTACTGCAAACACATACCAGCTTCATC